CACTGAGTCCCCCCCCCCCCACACACACACACCAATGACTGCATTTCGAAGGACCCCTCTGTCAAGGTCCTAAAGTTTGCAGATGAAACAACGGTCATTGATCTTATCCGAGGCAGTGACGTGTCAGCCTACAGATGGGAGGTTGAGCAGCTGGTCCTGTGGTGTAGTCACAACAACCCGAAGTTGAACACGCTCAGAACAGTGGAGATGACAGTGGACTTCATCAAGAAGGCACAGCAGAGGATGCACTTCCTGTGCCAGCTCAGGAAGTTCAACCTGCCCCAGGAGCTGCTGATACAGTTCTACAGAGGAATCATCGAGTCTGTTCTCTGCACCTCCATCACTGTCTGGTTTGGCTCAACAACCAAACAGGATAGGAACAGACTCCACTGAACAGTCACTGGTGCAAGCCTGCCCTCCATGATGGGCCTGTACACTTCATGGGTCAAAAGGAGGGCAGAAAGGATCACTGCAGACCCCTCAAACCTGGGACATAATCTGTTCAAACTCCACTCTGGATGGCGTTACAGGTCACTATATGCCAAGACAACCAGGCACAAGGACAGTTTCTTCCCCCAGGCCATCACTCTGATGAACACTTGACCCACTATAGTATGACAGTATGACCGGACAAATTACCCTCAGTGCAATACCTTCCTCCAGTGCAATACCTGTACATATACATTGTACAGAATATACGAATCCATACATGTCTCTATTTTTAAGTACTCTATCTTTATTCCTATTTATCTCATTCACAATGAGTATTCCTTTGTCTGTCTGCATTGTTTAATGCCCGTTTATTTTGCATTGTTTGCACTGTTTTTTGCTTGTTAATACACTTTATATTGTTATACTACACAGCCTTATGTTGGTTTATTGTTTACTTGCCCCTTGCATGGGGATATGTACATGCACATTGAGAGCCGATGTACCAGAGTCAAATTCCTCGTGTGTCCGACACACCTGGCCAATAAAGCAGATGGAATTCACATTTTGGATAGGCAGAACTGAATTGTAAATATCTTAGTTAAATTAGTTTTCCCATTCAAGTCAGTGAGGAATTCTTACTCATCAAAATTGAACTGCAGATATCTTAAATTATAGTTTTAACTTGTCAAATACATTGTAGCGATCTATAATATGAATTCTGTTGATCTAATAAATGCTGAAACGGTGCAGTAACATAATTTCAGATATCTAAACAGGAACGTTGACTACTCAAAATGTGTGTCACTTTTGGCTCTTCCCAACAGGGGTCACCACAGCAAATTGTCACACTGACAATTCGCATTTTTGAAATTTGGCACGTGTTTTACCCTGGATTCCCTTTCTGACACAACCCTGAATTGAACCCAGGCCACAGTAGCGAGAGCACTGGATCCTAGTGGACTAGTCAAAATGTAATTGTAGATATCTGAAACTGTCAAGATACAACTGTAGATATCTTGAATTATAATTTTCACTAGTTACGTTATAATTTAGACTAGTCAATGCCGTTTTAGATATCTGAAATGCAATTATGGTTGTTCAAGTAAAACCTTTTCAATGTTAAAACGGCCTGCCATACTCTCAGACATGAAAAAAAAGTAATGGGCAGCTGTTAACATACAGTACTTGGGCAGCCCACTCAAGCAAAGTCAGTGTAAGAAACCCTGTAATGGTTGATTATTATTTTTCACACCTTCATGTTGAGGGCACCAAGTAAGAAACTTTACTTGCAAATGTGTAAGGTTAGTATATTTTGATAGTAAACCTAATAAATATTCACACCAGTAACAATATCAGCAACTGTGGTAGGAACCCTTGCAATAGCAAAACAGTAGAAATAAATCATATAATACCTGTCCTTTAGTGGCCTTGTGGGCTCCAATGCTCCTGGCCTGGATCAATCCTTCCCTCTTGCCATTTCTGAAGAGTTTTACCAAACCGTTCCATTGCTTAATGTACTCCTCCAAACGTTCCTTCAGATGGACTACACACACACACACACACACACACACAATCATTATCATTGTGATGAAACTGCCTCTTCACATTACATTTCACATAATTTTATTACATTTATATTTACCTTTCTCGCTGTGGGGTCAAAAGAACAGTCATCATGTATGACAATTTCTCACTTGCCACAGAGAACCTATAGCTCAGTTATCAATAGGATATTATGACATTTCTCTTTTTAAAACAGACAATATTTGGACTTAACAGAGAATGTGAAGGTACATAATGATGTGTTGAATGTTGGGACAAGGGCGGCATTTTGGGCACTGTATTTACCTGCATATACTCTTATTTTGTTTGACAAAAAAATTGCTTAAAATCATTTATATCTCACTTTACTGACTGTGGTCATTTAAAATGGATAACCTTAACCAACTGTAGCCAACTCAGTGAGCCTAGAGAGCTTGTCAATGAGAGAGACAAACAAATGACTGCACCCTGATCACAGCTCCACTCAGCTCTCGGTTCAGGAGGTAATGCTAGCTAGCAGCTGTCAAGAGATAACACACAACATTGCAAATGAATAAATTTCTATCCTGTCTGTAATGAAAGTGAATACTTCTTTTATATACACTGTAGTAAAGTGTTCTGTGGTCATTTAAATTTTAAACAATGTACTTAGTAAAATAAATGTAATATAATTGTGTCCTTGATTTTGTGGAAGTTATTTAAGTAAATGTCAAAAATATTTGGAATAGAACCCATTCATTCTGGTTAAATAAAACATATTTTGTTTATGCAATTTCATATAGAGAGAATGTAGAAAAAAATCCAGCCCACTGTAATCAAGCAGTTTTTAATTGAAGAACACTTCCTATCTAAGCATGCACTTATTTGAACGCAACATTGTGTGTATCATCGAACGTTAACCACAATATGTCCGAAGGGAATGCGAGTGCCTCTATCTTCTTCCATAGTCCACATTGCTTGTCTCACAAATACTTACATTGACTGGTTGACCAAGGTAAGAAAACTTTTTCCACCTAGAAACTGTTTCTTAAATCATTTTATTTTGTGGTTATCTGAAAATGGACTGTTTAGCTAGATGTCCAACATGTTTTTCACCACTTGTACTTAATGCACATGCTGCACAATTTAGGTATGCGCACAGCATAAAAGTCAGCAGTAACGTTAAGGGGAAGAGGGAGGTAACTTAGCTGCAAACAAATGTAACCTTAACCTGACAAATGCCAACATGCCCCCACTTCATTTTGGGCTAGTGATCTCTGTTGCTAACCATCTGTCTCTGCAACTGTGCAGTCTAGCATATCAGTTATCATGTGACTGTATAAGCAACATTTTATCAATACAATTTCATTACTTTTCATGTATAACCTGCTACTTAGGACAGAAGTGTATAAAGGCCTGTCGTCCTTGATAGCACCGGGCATTAACGTTAGTGGCTTGAGGGTTGCGAATTTCTCCAAACCAAACTTTTATTACGTTTCATGCATAAATCTGTTATGGCTGGCAGGTATGGGTGGACCCAATATGCAGACAAAAAGGAGTTTATTAAATAATCAAGGAATGGGTTACCAATGAAGGAGAGAGGGGAACAGAGTTCTGGACAGGACAGGTAGTCTCCGTTGGCTGCCAGGAGGTGAGGCAGGCAGGCAGCGTGGTGCTGGGGACGAAGCAGGCAAGTGGAGTACCTGGGAGTGCTTAGCTAAAGAGTGCTGAGTGGGGGAACGGAGAACTGGAGCTTCAGGTAGCAGGTGAGCGTAGACAATCAGAGTCAGTGAGCAGTTTAACGCAGCAGTGGCCAGGAACAAAGGTGTAGTAATCGTCATCACACACAGGAGAGCAGAAGAAACAGGTAAGTAGCCGATGAGTAGCTTACTCAGTGTGAAAGTGTGACAATTCTGTACGGAGATCCAGAGGAGCAGGGAAGTAACAGGTGAGTAGCTTACTCAGTAGGCAAGCAGGAGTGGTGATGGTGTCCACACACGAAGAGTCAGGGGTGCAGGTAAGCAGCAGCACAAGCCGGATAGATGATCAGGAAAACAGAGGAGCCAGAATAACATTGGGTAGCTGACAAAACATGGCATCGTCAGCAATCGGGTAAGTGTCGGAATCAAACAAGGCATGTGATTGTCAACGAACCAACAAGGGGCAAACGGAAAGAAGGGCATAAATGTAGGGAACTGAACCAGGACTAACGAGCTGCAGGTGAAGATGATCAGAGCCGATTTGAGTGATGTGGCAGAATGGTGGGGAGACGGGGGAAAAAACACAACATAAAAACAAGACGTGATGGTCCAAATCCTGACAAAATCTGCTAATTAGGGGAGAGGTGTGTCAAGGCCTGTCATGCTTGCTAGAATGGGCTATTAACATTAGTGGCTTGAGGGATGAAAACTTGTCCAAACTCAACTTTTATTATGTTTCATGAATAAATCTGCTAATTAGAGGAGAAGCGTGCAAAAGCCTGTCATGCTTGCTAGCATGGGGCATTAATGTTAGTGGCTTGAGGATGCAAACTTGTCCAAACACAACTTTCTTGCCACATGGGGCTACATCATTTTGACAAAGCCCCTTGTGGTGCTGGTGCCAGCTTCAGTGAATGCAATCCCTCATATACTGTAAGTGAATGGAAAGGATTGCATTTTCCACACCTTTGAAACTCAGTCTGAATGCAGCCTGTGACTGGGACAAACCACTTTGTTGAAGCCATCAGTTGGAGGGCCACCCCTGTCACCATGACCAGCCAGGAATTGTTCCATACCTGCACTGCCTTCCCAGGCTGGTTGCATTCACACCCACGCAGACGCCCAGTCCCAATGCCCCTGTGAAGAAGAGGAGTTCCAACACTGCCAGTGCCACAAGGACCAGGACATTGCTACCCCACAGGGTAGCCCTGCCAGCAGTGGGGACAATGATATTGCCTAACAATGTGATCAGAGCCAAGACATTATCTGCTCTGGACCCAGAGACCAAAGCCCTGTAGTCCCAGTGGTCCAGCCTCTTTAACCAGGATGGTCTTCTCTGTCATTGCTGGTGGGTTCCTGGGGGCCACCACAATATCCTCCCACTCCTGGTGCCTCGCCAGCTCTGTCATGAAGTCTTCTAGCTGGTCCACGACTCGGTGGGGGCAGGCCACTTCAGGATAATCAAGATCTTACACCAACTGTGGTCTCGCTTCCACTGGCCAGACTGTCACCAAGATGTAGTGCTTCACATCCATCAGTGTGACTCCTGCATGTCACAGAAGGGGACAGCCCAATGCTTGCATGCTCCCCTGTGGCACTACTGGGTGAGGGCCCCAGCGGAGAGAGATATGAAAGAAGAAGCACCTGTGTAGGCTCCACCACCACCTATGGAACTTTGTTATGACTGTAATGACAGCTAGCGGGGTCAGGCCATGCCATCATAAATCTTCAAAGTTACACAAAAAGCAACACCATTTCCAGACCTAACCTAGCCTTAACACAAAGCATCCCTAAATCCTATCCTCAACCAAGCAAAGAGCAGGTATATGGTTTGACACACAGCATCTGCATTGTATTTGCTCAGGTTAAGCAGTGGCTGGCCCAGCTGGCAGTCACCTCTGAGAGCCAGGTCTGTTCAATTGTCCAGCCACTGACACTGTTCTACCAAGATTGCCATACAAGAGAAGAATAACACACCCAGTGAGTCAGTAACTACATTACCACCAACACATGTTCTGTGTGGGTATACGAGTGAAGGCAAGTCTACAGGGTCGTCAGGTGGGCACCCTCTCACTAACTGCTGTTTCAATAAGTTGAGCCATTACACCAAGAAGGCTCAGCAGTGTGTTCCAATATCCCAGAACCACCCTCCTCTTTGCCTGCCATACAAGAGAAGAATAACACACCCAGTGAGTCAGTAACTACATTACCACCAACACATGTTCTGTGTGGGTATACGAGTGAAGGCAAGTCTACAGGGTCGTCAGGTGGGCACCCTCTCACTAACTGCTGTTTCAATAAGTTGAGCCATTACACCAAGAAGGCTCAGCAGTGTGTTCCAATATCCCAGAACCACCCTCCTCTTTGCCTGCACTCACACACCCAACAAAACCCTTCATCTACTCTATTAGTAATTCAGGCTAACCGTTACTAAACAGTCTCTAGTAAACATTTCAACTGCTATTCTAGCTGCCAATCATTTAAAATAACTCACCAAACACTGACAGACACTAATATTTTTAAACACTGGCCCCACAGGCCACCAAGCCCCAAAATGTGGTAGCCAAATTACATTTTTGGTGGCCCAAATATAAATGCATGTACAAACATACATTGATGCAGAATGCAGAAAACACAATTTAATGCAACTTAACAGCCTTCATGTGACACTTTAATATAGAGACTTAACAGAATTAAAATATGAAGGGTATTTATTTCAACTAAAAACTTTAGTTCATTTATAAATAAAAATAAAATACCTTCTGCTTTCTTTTCTCCAATCAGACTTCCACATTTTACCAACTGTCATCTATATCTAGCATTCAGACAGTTGTCAGTTTGGTCTGTTGTATTATCTCTTTGATTCACTCTTTGTCCATACCTGGGTAGCACCTGTAAGCACCAAGTGTCACCATGAATCAGTGTTTTCTCCACTTCTCTTTCTCAACTTCTACTGCTCACTCGAACATTTCGTTCCGATTACAAAAACACCATTATATTTTATTATCAAAATCATTATTGGAATAAAATCACTCTTACTTAGGTTCATTGTCACATTACTATTCATTAAGCAAAACATACTAAGAAAGTCATGTTCAAAATTAACCTTACTTATTACTTCAGCTTCCTACTTTATGCCTTTAGCTATTATATCTTAAAAAAAAAATCATTCTCTCCCCTTTCCATTCCCTCTTGGCGCTTTCCCCTTCCACCTCGGGGTCCGGTTCATCCACCACCACATATTCTTCATTCTCCTCAATTTCTTCCTTTTCTTCTTCACACAGGTTTACTAATTCTTCTGCCATCAGTCTGGGTGTGATAGGGGAAAAGTAGTTTACCATCAACTCCTCCATGTACTCCTCTTCAACAAAGTGGTGTTTTGTGTCATGGGTGCATTCTCTTCTGGACCAAGCAGCACTTTCTTATCCTTTTCCTGCCTTTACTATAATTTCCTCATTCTCTGCTTCTTTGAATGTTGGACATTCCAATATCTCTTGCATATACTCTTGTTGTTCTTTTGAGACTTCTATTTGGAATGAGACAATTTGTCTTGTGCCTTCCTCCAGCTCTTCCTGTAGGGTTAATTCAGTCACTGGATCCCCAAAGGCCAGCGTTCTTCTTCAATCTCAGTGGCCTCTGACCTTTCATTGCCTCTTTTTATCACTTCTTCCAAGCTTTTAGCAGGAACATGTTTTTACAGCCTCACTAACAACCTCTCCATGGGTTCCAGGGACTGAGGAGGGCCTTCTTTGGGTAGCACCACAGGCTCTTGCAGAAGTTTCCTTCTCTTCATCCAAATCAAAGCCCATGAATTCTCAATGTGACACCAGATGATTTTGGAATTGGTCTTGTGCACTGTGTAGGCCACCACTCTTCTCTTATATCTCAACACTTTGACCATCACTGGATAATATCTGGTTCCTGGATAATTGTGTCCTGTCATCTAGGTCCACCCCACTTAATGGGTTGACCTCCTTGTGCACTTTGCCAAGGACTCCAGGAAAATTACATGTTCTGTTTCAGCAAGAGAGGATTTCTTTACTCGACTGAACTTTGTCACCCCTAAAACTTTCAGCATGTCACTATATAGAATACATTTGGAGCACATATCCCTTCACAGTTGCTCACAAATGGTGATACTCTTTTAGGTCAGTGGAGCAACCAACACAGTAAGGAGCAATCTGGAATACAGCAGGTTCAGTTATTACTCAGTCATCAGCAAAACATTATCCACACTTAGCAAGCATTATCCAACTGGCAGAAGTTCACTGCTCTATTACTAGTGATTGGCATGGGCATGGGCATGGGAAAGACTTATCAGATGTTCTTGGATGACCCCTGCCAGTCTAATCAACAGGGAAAAGATAACCAAACATCACACGCTAAAATACCACAAGCAGGTTGGAAGACAGCTTGGTTAAACACAGAGATGCATACTCCCCAAATCACCAATCTGATGAGCTGGTTGATCCATGCTAAAACAAATGCAAATTTGACCTTCATCACTAATACCGCCACATAGGCAAGGAGGATGATAGCCATCAGGCCCGCCATGCTGATATTGATCCAATACATCACAGGAGTCTATAAGGAAGCAGTGTCAAGGCTTAGCCATATTACCAAACGCCAGTGTTGCATCTTCCATCTCACTGGCCTTTCATTGCCACCTTTTTTGCTTTTTCCAGGCTCTCCCCAGAACCTGTGTTTACAGTCTCACTGACAACATAATCCATAATCTTAACAAAAGTATGTCACTTCTGCATGTTGCCCTAAAACAGAGTAGCTTGTGCTGATTAATATCAAGTCCAGCTGGTATCCTTAGTACTAAATGCGACTTCACCAGCGTCTGCAAATAGCTACTTAAGCAGAAACTGGTGGACCTGCCCCAAAATTGACAACTGATTTGTTCACGACCTTATCACAATGCATCAAGTGCCAGCGTTACACCTAACTAGTTTTGAACTAATTTCAATGTCACTGACAAATTTCCAGTGTCAGAGTAAAATCATAAGAATTTTGCTACAGTCATGTGCTCCCATCATCTCAATTGCTTAGTGTAAGGTGATGATTCAAGCTGTTTTAATTCTGTGTTTTTCTCATCTTAGTGTTTCAATAAGATCAACCATGTTTAATACTATCATAAGTCTTTAGTCTTGGCTCATGCAAACATTGTAAACAACCAATAGGTGAGGTCTCTCCAGAGAAACAGCAGTAACTATGATGGAGACTCTGTTGAGGCATCAGAAGGCATTGGCTCTGTTGGATCATTACAAAGAAGGAGGAACTGGTGGAGTTGTGGAGTGAGCAAGAGCGTCTCTTTGATGAGTCATCCAATTTGTACCATGATAGAGTGGAGAAAAAGAAAGACCTTGGTTTCCCTTTTCAGTCAACCAGGTGATCTTTATTTTTGGCAGTTTTTTTTGCACCAAAGCAAAACACTGCACATTGATGTGCAGCTGTAGCCAAATGCTGCTTTTATTTCTGCTCCATTTTCAATTCTTTCTTCTTATAACTTCCCACCAAGAGCATGAAGTGCAGCTGTAGCCAAATGCTGCTTTTACAGTGCCTTGCGAAAGTATTCAGCCCCCTTGAACTTTGCGACCTTTTGCCACATTTTAGGCTTCAAACATAAAGATATAAAACTGTAATTTTCTGTGAAGAATCAACAACAAGTGGGACACAATCATGAAGTGGAACGAAATTTATTGGATATTTCAAACGTTTTTAACAAATAAAAAACTGAAAAAATGGGCGTGCAAAATTATTCAGCCCCTTTACTTTCAGTGCAGCAAACTCACTCCAGAAGTTCAGTGAGGATCTCTGAATGATCCAATGTTGACCTAAATGACTAATGATGATAAATAGAATCCACCTGTGTGTAATCAAGTCTCCGTATAAATGCACCTGCACTGTGATAGTCTCAGAGGTCCGTTTAAAGCGCAGAGAGCATCATGAAGAACAAGGAACACACCAGGAACACACCAGGCAGGTCCGAGATACTGTTGTGGAGAAGTTTAACGCCGGATTTGGATACAAAAAGATTTCCCAAGCTTTAAACACCCCAAGGAGCACTGTGCAAGCGATAATATTGAAATGGAAGGAGTATCAGACCACTGCAAATCCACCAAGACCTGGCCGTCCCTCTAAACTTTCAGCGCATACAAGGAGAAGACTGATCAGAGAGGCAGCCAAGAGGCCCATGATCACTCTGGATGAACTGCAGAGATCTACAGCTGAGGTGGGAGACTCTGTCCATAGGACAACAACCAGTCGTATACTGCACAAATCTGGCCTTTATGGAAGAGTGGCAAGAAGAAAGCCATTTCTTAAAGATAGCCATAAAAAGTGTCGTTTAAAGTTTGCCACAAGCCACCTGGGAGACACACCAAACGTGGAAGAAGGTGCTCTGGTCAGATAAAACCAAAATCGAACTTTTTGGCAACAATGCAAAACATTATGTTTGGCGTAAAAGCAACACAGCTCATCACCCTGAACACACCATCCCCACTGTCAAACATGGTGGTGGCAGCATCATGGTTTGGGCCTGCTTTTCTTCAGCAGGGACAGGGAAGATGGTTAAAATTGATGGGAAGAGGGATGGAGCCAAATACAGGACCATTCTGGAAGGAAACCTGATGGAGTCTGCAAAAGACCTGAGACTGGGACGGAGATTTGTCTTCCAACAAGACAATGATCCAAAACATAAAGCAAAATCTACAATGGAATGGTTCACAAATAAACATATCCAGGTGTTAGAATGGCCAAGTCAAAGTCCAGACCTGAATCCAATCGAGAATCTGTGGAAAGAACTGAAAACTGCTGTTCACAAACGCTCTCCATCCAACCTCACTGAGCTCGAGCTGTTTTGCAAGGAGGAATGGGCAAAAATTTCAGTCTCTCGATGTGCAAAACTGATAGAGACATACCCCAAGCGACTTACAGCTGTAATCGCAGCAAAAGGTGGCGCTACAAAGTATTAACTTAAGGGGGCTGAATAATTTTGCACGCCCAATTTTTCAGTTTTTTATTTGTTAAAAAAGTTTGAAATATCCAATAAATTTCATTCCACTTCATGATTGTGTCCCACTTGTTGTTGATTCTTCACAAAAAATTACAGTTTTATATCTTTATGTTTGAAGCCTGAAATGTGGCAAAAGGTCGCAAAGTTCAAGGGGGCCGAATACTTTCGCAAGACACTGTATTTCTGCTCCATTTTCAATTCTTTCTTCTTATAACTTCCCACCAAGAGCATGATGAGAAGTAGTCTCAAGAGAAATCTAGCTGCAGTCTTGCAAATAGGTCCCTTGCAAAATCATAGTCTATGACTAAAACTTTGTGTGATTAATGAAACATTGTCTTTAAATGTGAGAGGGTCACAGGACTTCGGTCTTTTAAAAGTCATTTCTGAGTCTCATCCTAGTCTTCTATGTGAAGAACGCAAACCCACCTTTGTTGCTGAAATCATCTATCATGACTATCTCAGCAAGGTATTTTCTGGGAGTTCTCTTGATGACACTGTGGATGGTTCTCATTAGTGTTGACCAGCCTTCATTGTGGAAGACTATCACCACACTGGCAGTCAGCAATCTGTCATCATAATGCCAGTACTTACACCTAGAGAGGCAAGATGGAGCAGCAAGTCAGTAGCAGGTCAGTTACATTAACTTAATTTCTTACTTAATGTTACAGGTTGTCATTAGAAATGTTGCTGCTCTCTCTCTAATGGAACACAGTTTGTCATCAGGGTTAATGACTATTTTTCATCATGTTCTTCTGGTTCAGGAGTATGGTATGCTGTGCAATGATTTTAGGGTCTGAATTGTGCTGGAATGTGTGTTGGATAAGTCTCCTAGGCAAAAAATGAAAGGACAGAGGGGTATCATTTGAAGCAAATCTGCATGCAGGAAAGAGAGGGTTACAGAGGAATTCTTTAAAGATAACTAACAGACTTACTCCCATCCACCTCAAAGTGGTGGAGAAAACACCACCCGTGATTTCTAGGAAAGACTAAAGAATGCTTTTAGAAGTAATAAAACTTCCAACACCAGACATTTTCCAAGTTTTATGGTTCCGAAACTGCATTATTTTCAGTGAATGGATTACACATCGCATTATGTGTTCGTATGCTGATTGCCCAACTCAACTGAACTCAAATGGGCACTCTTAGAGAAAGAGAATATATTTTTATGACTGATCTAACGCAGATTTGGGCTTGTGTCAGCTTTGTACCACCAAATCCACAGACAATCCTCCCCCTTCCCTTTGACTCACATAGCTGCATATATATTTAACTATGTGAGTCGAAGTCTGACACCAAGAACAGTAAAGTTGGAGGAAACTCAAACAAACCCAGGACAATTGCTTTCCTATAAAATCTCACTATCTACATAAGACCCCTTGGAATGCAGGTTTTCCAACTTCCATAAAATACCCCTGTTCCTTCTGTATTCTTTCTCTTCTAACAGTGAAAATGTTATATTGGACTTACAAAATAAAAATATTGTGAGCCAAAATGTATAATGTATAATGTTCAGTAAGGTCACAGGAAATAGTTCTATTACATGTGGTTTAAATCTGCCTGATTCTATGCAATGTTTAGTCTGATTCATTTCATAAGAAAGACCAACATATCTGAGCAAATCTTTGAAAGATCACTAGTGACACCCTGTGATGATAGCTGGATATCGTATCCTTTGTAACATAACCCTTACAGAACTATAGATTCTACTTGACCCTTTATATAGGGCACTTACTGAAATACTGAAATACCTGAAAATTCAAAATTTCAACCCTAGACTATTATTGGAAAATGTCATTTTTAAACAATTTTCTTTACTTTTTCATAGTCAAGTTGCAAATCATGGTCAATATAGCTTCTTGAACATCTAGAGTAATAATTTTCCAAGACACATTTACTTAAACATAAAAATGTGCAAAAATATAATAGTAGTTATTCTCTATAAATATTCATAGCAATTTAGAATGCCCACAGCAGTTCCCAAATGTGGTTCCTTGCCCAATAAAGGGTTCATCTTGACCAATTCCAGGGCACCAGCCCAATTCCAGGGCTCCAGACTAACATTTAATACTGGTGGCACCGGTGCCATCAAGTCTCTCAGGTGGTGGCACCACTGCCAGATTTGGTGGTACCACCTCTGTTGTACAAGGTAATGCAAAAGAATCAGTATCTTTCACAATTATTTTAAGTAACCTTACCATCCAGTGTGTGTATAGACTATATGTATAAAGAAATTCAGAGAAAGGGAGATGTATGGAACACCATAAATGGGAAAATCACTTCTGGAACAAGTTTACACCTCCTTTTATGTAGGCCAGACACTTTAGTGCTCTATAGCCAAGCAGTCAACATAATGATAATGATGACACTGATGAGGATGGGCTATCATAATTCAACTGAAGTACAGTATAAACTGATGAATTGCATGCATGTTTTGCCATCTGTGTACGTGATTTAATTTGAGCTAATTAGCTTTTTCTTCTGAAGAAAAATTTCTGCTTTTTGGACATCATGCGCAGTTCAGCTCTCTCACTTGCCTGGGTAGTGCCAGCTCATTTTTGGACTAAAGTTACTAGTAGCCTACTACTTAAAGAAGGATTTGATGGTGGGTTTCACCCACTACCAAATTCAAACTGGGACTTCACTAGACGCGAGCAGTGTGTATGCACAACGTGTTTGATCCATTCAATCCACACTGACTCCAGGATCCCAGCAGCATCTCTCATCAAACAGCTGTCTGTCAGGAAGAAGACAGCACAATCAGACTGACTGACAGCAGAAATGTAACGGACAAAAGTAGTTTGTAGGCTCATCATCAAGAAATCAGCAGCATTTACACATATGGTTTTATTAATTTTAATTTTCCCGTATTGCTACAAAAGACGGTGAGAAAATCTTAGTGACAGCATGAGCCTGGATCCATCACAAGAGATTCAAGCAATATTTTCCAACATAAACAGGCGATCTACCTGATTTAAGCAGCTGCTCGTGGCAAATACACTTCAAACGCGCCCAAGGAAAAAATAGACTTTAAGCATAAAAAAGGGGTCTAGGGATGATGTGTGTGTGTCTCAGAGTCAACGTGGACCAACACAATTGATTGACTGGAAGTCTCTGCCTCATGAGACAGGCGAGTGACAGACCTGGAGATAAACGTAAAAAGTATTGCAGCAATTGTTCTACAGTGATAGCAGTCATTCATAGATAACTCGTTTATTTGGTAGTTGCACCCAATGTGACCTTTGAAAAAAAGTCAGTCGTTCCTTAAATAAATTTGGTCTCAAAATGCAATTGATCACTTGCGGTCTGGAGCCTTGAATTCTAACTCTCCTAAAGTACCGCTAAACATGACAGTTTAGAAACTGTGTGATTGTTCATTTTATTAACTCTGCTGATAACCAATTGTTTTAATTCAGAGATTAACTTTTCTTTGTCTTCTTTATAATATGCCTATTCTATACTTGCTTAATGCTTAGACTGTGTTGCTTATACTTCATGTTTGTTATGTTCATAAATTATGATCATGTGCATTTCAAATAGCAGCCACGATAGAAAAAAGTAGAAGTTATGAACCCAATGTAAAATAACCCAAACACAGAAATACTTTAAGTAATAATTTTAATTTCCCCTTAGAATTTGAGTCTTAACAGTCACACCCAGAAACAGGGTGTGAACTTTTCCACAGCGCGTTTCTAAAAGAGCCAATCAGGAAAGCCCCTCAAAGACACCGCATCTGAGCCAATCAGAGATCTACACCTCTGATGGAAAAACTACTGGACAAGAAGCTTTCCTTCTTGTGTGTAACTAATGTTTACTCTGAGCAAATGTGCAGTCATTGTAAAAGGATGTTCTTTAGCTTACAGAAGTCCTTCGTCTCACCTTGTTAAATTTTTCTAACATATTTGGTCTTTCGAGCTTGATTCCAAGACCTCTTGTCCTCTCTGGGACTCCTGCATAAAGCCCTTGACCCTATTCTAATTAGGGGAATAGTCTGGATACAAGGCCAGACACCGCTAGAGAGGAGTAACGAATCTAAAGAATTAATGCCTTCCCATCCTGGAAGACAGAGACTCCAGCCCCTAAACCCCAGAATAATCTGTGTGACAGGAGACTGACCGCTCTTGGTCTCTATTTCCCAGGTGAGGGCAGCCACCACACAGGACGTGGGCAGAATGGTGTCTGGTGACGGTTCTTCCTGAATGGATCCAAACTGTGTGGACAGGGCATCGGATTTGGTGTTCTTGGATCCAGGAGATTCGGTCAGGGTAAAAATGGAACCTGCCAAAGAATAAAGCCCACTGGGCTTGTCGGGTGTTGAGTCTTTTGGCAAACTGAAGGTAGGACAGGTTCTTATGGTCCATCCAAACAAGAAACGCTCCCTCCAGTAAATGCCTCCACTCCTCCAGAGCTAGCTTGATCACTAGGAACTCCTGATTGCCCCCATCATAATTTCACTCAGCCGGGGAGAGATGGTGGGAGAAGAAGGCACAAGGGTGAAGGAGACCATCCCTGGCCAAGCTCTGACTCAGCATTGCCCCCACTCCTGTGTCTGAAGCATACACCTCAACAATAAACTGTCGGCAGGGATCAGGTTGGGTGGGGACCAGGGCGGAGGAGAATCGATCCTTCAGAAACTGGAAGGTCCGACCTGCCTCCTGTCCAGGTGAACTTAGTGACTGGGGAGGTGAGCTTGGCAAGGGGAGCTACAACAGTGCTAAAATTGAGTACAAAGTGTCTGTAGAAATTTGCAAAGCCCAGGAAATGCTACAGCTCTTTGTGGGTCTGGGGAACTGGCCATTCAGTTACTGCACATACCTTGTTGGAGTCTGCCCTGATCCCCCCTTGCTCAATGATAAAGCCCAGAAAGCTGATCGTGCCCACATGGAACTCGCATTTTTCTGCCTTAACAAACAGGCGGTTTTCGTGTAACCGTTTGAGTACCTGATGGACGTGTTGTATGTGCTCGGTGGGGGTGCAAGAAAAAACAAGAATGTTGTCAGGATACACAAAAAAAGACCGGTTAAGGAAATCATGGAGAACATCATTCACAAGGGCCTGGAAGACGGCTGGGGCATTGGTGAGCCCAAACGGCATCACCAAGTATTCGAAATGCCCCAAAGGGGTTTTGAAGGCCGCCCCCAGACCTCTCCCAGGTCATGATATTCTATTGGTACCCGAGAGAGGTCCGGTGGTGTAGGTTTAGGTTCCGGAGCCAGCGATGGTGATGGCAGGAGGGCTGAATGGAGGCAATGTGAGGGTTATGGTGCTTTAACCAGGTGTGACCAAGAACTAACGGTGTCTGCAGGGAGTGAAAAATGTAAAGATGGATACATTATGAAAAAAATAATGGTAATATTATTCTGGGGTCTCTCCCAGACGACTGGTGTAATATTACTGTTACAGTGTTTAATAAGGAAGGATAAGATCTGCAAGTGCAAAAGGTGGCTCATGCTGACATGTGGTGGTACTGTGGAGGAAGACAGCTGGAGTGGTGAGTGTGCTCTGGTGCAGCTGGTTATGCTTTGTTAACTTTATCAACTTCTGTTAAAACCTTGCAGAGTCCACACGTTCCACAACACCTTGCTGAACAGGTTGA